TGGGGGGGGTGGGTTCATTGTAATGGCACTGTGAAAGACGTCTCGACAATGGGTCTCCGTCTTAGACAGTTTTGACTGTTCAGTCAAACTTGCTTCAACGGTCACCTGCTCCAAAGGCACTTTCCACTCCGAGGAGGAGGAGGAGAAGGAGCAGAAGGAGGGGGAGGAGTTACAGCCAATGTCGTTTTATCAGAGGAGAAAGGCGTCCCTCGGTCACCCAGGTCAATCATCATTGTCACAAACGTCGCGCTATATTGTCGCTACGTTGATAATAATAGATAGCATTTGTATAGCGCAAATCCCCGCTCAACAGCAAGCTCTATGCGCTTCACAATCTATACTATTACCCCAGCAGACCTGAGAGCATTCTGAAACAACCGCAACTTCCTGGGAAGCATACAGTGCAAACAGCCATTTATAGGCGCTAAAACACTAACATACATGTACTGACAAGATCTGTCGCTGTATGTTAAAACTAAAAGAAATTAAAATGTAGGTCAACACCAATAATTAGTAGATGAGGAGAGTTACCTCGGCTGTGTTCCTTCTGAGCATCCCTTTTTTCTCGTAGAAACACTTTTGGGGTTCTAATTCAAAGTTGTCGGTTGCATCTTCGTCAACAAAAGAGTTGTTTTATTAACGTAGGTGATTTTTACGCCCCTATCGTTACAATTTAGATAATTTAGGAGGCGGGCTTCGACCCTGCCTGTTAGGACGAACTTGGGCTGAGAACTGAGAGGGATGCAACGTCCCAGAAAAAGCAAGATACTCGATAAAAATTGTCCCAACACGGGAATCGAACTCTGGCCTTCTGCGTGAGACGGTAACGGCGAATCGCCCAGCTGCTACACCACATACATTTATTTGAGCACATCCCTATAGATTTACCCACACGTCTAATCAAACCAAAGATTTTACTGTTTTACTCTACAGGACGAGAATATACTACATGTGTTATCATACTCCACCCTCGGGGGGTAATGCGGTCTAGGTTGCGCAACTCAATAATTAATACCAATCCCCGCCCCTCCCCCCTTCCGTC